ATAATATTTGTTTTACCTTCTTATCTTCTTCTCTTCCACTTCCACTTCTCTTCTTAATATTCTCAATTATCTTACTATTATTAGCATAGCTAGCAAAATGGAGAGGAGGAGTGCTAGGGTTAAGGTACGTTTTCCGGTAGCCAAGGATAGTGGTAGTGGGCTCAAGCGGCAGTTTTCCGGCAGCCAGGGTATGGCAGGCAGTTTCTAGCGCAAGTAACTACGTATTTCTTCTATGATTTTCCAGCAGATCGATTAGTGAAGGATATGTGGTTTTGCTTTTGGTCATTTGGGAAGGTGGCAGATGTGTTCACTCCTGCAAGGCGAGATCGGAAAGGGCGCCGTTTTGGTTTCGTTCGTATGTCAAAGGTCTCAGATGCTAAGGATTTGGAACAGAAGTTAAATCAGATTTGGCTTGGATCCTATCGTCTCAAGGTGAAATTGGCAGAAACCATAAAAAGAGAGAGGGTGGTGTCAGCGAGGAATCCAAATAGGCAATTTGAGAAAAAATGGATTAGAAGAGAGAGTAAGGTGACTTCAGGGATGACGTACGCTCAGGTGGTTGCTGGCAATATGGTTACACCTGAGGAATGGATGTCTTCGAATAAGGATGTCAAGCAGGATGAGTTAACAAAAGGGAAGGAACCGGTAGAGGATGTGGTACTGGAGAAAATACCAGAAAAGAGTACTGCACCAGTGATAAGTGCAGGTAGGGTTGAGGAAAGGTATTCTCCAAAAATTGATTTGGTATTAGAATTTACTCCTAAAGATGAGGAAGTGGCATGGTTGAAACGAAGTATGGTAGCAATGGTTCGATCTTTAGATATGGTGAAGAAAATCCAGAACAGGTTGGATGTAGATGGATTAATGGTGAATGTGGCTTTGCTCGATGGTCACCATGTCATTTTGGTTGATTATTCAGAAGGATGCCTTGAGGAGTTTATCAGTCATAACAGTGAACTGGTGGAATCCTGGTTCAATTGGATATAGCCAATGTCTTTATCTACGATGTCTTCGGCAAATAGATTGGTATGGCTCCGATGCACTGGTGTTCCCTTAAAGGCATGGAGCGAGAGATGCTTCACAGAATTAGGTGGATTAATTGGAGAGGTGATATTAGTTGATGAGGATACGAGGAGTAAGTCTTTTTTGTGTGAAGGAAGGGTGTTGATATTAAGTGAGGAAAAGAGTAAAATATCAACCACAATTTCTCTGATAGTTGATGGCAAGGCATTTCCGATTACAGTGCAGGAGGAGGAATGGAGGATGGACCCGGATTGGTGGTTGGCCGGGGAACGGCGGAATTCGATGGTAGAATCTGACTCCGAAAATTCCGATGACGGATTAAGTGAATCAACTTTTAATGAAAACGGATTTCTGGGCGATGATGGGGCAGTGTTGGCCGAAGATGGTGCTGCAACGGAAAGGGATTCAAATTTTTTGTTACAAAAAGAAGTAGATTTAAATGAGGAAGATTTGGGTGTGAATAAGGAATTAAATGGGCTGGAGACATTTGGGCGGAGTGGAGGAAGTTTTAATGGGCCACATAAATGTGGAGAAGTGGAGCAACAAGTTGAAGATCGAAGTGTTGAAGATGGGTTCGAATATGGGTTGGAGGCTCCTTATGTGCAGATAGCCCGACCGGATAGGACAGAGAAAAAACGCAGAAGCTTGGGAACGATTTATGCCATGGTTATTGGGATGGAGGAAGCAAGGAAAGTTGGCACCAGCTGGGTCACGGCCAGGACAAAGGCTCGAAGAAATAGAAGGGACACAGACGTGTGAAGGGAGGAATTGCAAATGGCAAGTTGTTCTCTGTCAGATGGGTGCATCCGACACCGGAATGAGGTGATTCGAAAGCAGCTACAGATGGGGGAAGTGAGAGAGCTGTTTGTGATGGGGCATAATTTGGGGATTCGATGCCAACAAAATGATGAAGAGGTGATATCTAGGTTGGTGGCTTTAGAGGTGAGGGATGGAGCCAGATTCGAACGGGCCTGATGCGTCGGGACTGGTTTTTTGGGAGGTATGTGAGTTATGAGTTTTAATAATGAAGGTGATTTCTTTTAATGTTAGGGGTTTAGGTAGTATGATTAAGAGAAAGGAGATTTTTAAATTAGTGAGTAAGGAGAAACCGAACTTTCTATTTATTCAGGAAACAAAATTAGAGGGAGTTGAGGTTTCTCTGTGTAGAAAGTTGTGGTATTCTAAGGATTTTGACTGGGTTATGCAAAAATCAGTGGGCAATTCGGGAGGTTTGTTGTCTATATGGAATAGGAGCAATTTTGTTAAAGAAAGAGTGATTGAAGGAAATGGTTTTATTGGGATTTCAGGGGAGTGGGGAAAGCAGCGGTTGAAGTGTAACCTTGTTAATGTGTATGCTGCATGTGATAGGCAGAGGAAGGCTATGTTATGGGAGGAGATGGGTAGGTTAGTACTGGAAAAGGGTGGTAGATGGCTCTTAGTTGGGGATTTTAATGCAGTAAGGAATGTGGCAGAAAGGAAGGGGAGACTAGGGGAGACACAGGACACGGGAGATTTTAATCAATTTGTAGAGGAGTGTGGGTTAATAGATGTTAGACTGAGGAATAGGAAATTCACCTAGTACAGACCTGATGGTTCTTCAATGAGTAGGTTGGATAGGGTTTTGTTATCCACAGAAATGAGTTTATTGGATAGAGAGTGGGTTCAAGTTGGTATGCGAAGATCGATTTCAGATCATTGTGCACTGATTTTGACGTCAAGAAATATAGATTGGGGTCCCAAGCCTTTTCGAGTACTTGACGCATGGCAACAACACCCTAATTTCAAAGGTTTTGTGGAGGATAAATGGAAGACTTTGCAGATTGAAGGATGGGCGGGTTTCAAATGTAAACAGAAGTTGAAATTATTAAAAGATGAATGCAAGGGGTGGAATAGAGGGGTGTTTGGTAATGTGGAGATTCAACTGGATACACTGTTAAAGCATATTGGGAGGTTGGATAAAAAAAGTGAGGCAGAGGAGCTGAGCGAAAATGAGGTGCTATTGAGAAAGAAATGCTTTCAGGAGATGTGGGACATTTTCCGAAGGAAAGAAGCTGTGTGGAGGCAAAAATCAAGGAACAATTGGGTTCGTTTGGGTGATGCAAATACAGCTTTTTTCCACAGATGTGTGCAGACAAGGAGGGCACAGAATGCAATATCTGGTATCTTAGGGGATGAGGGATGGATTGAGGAACCCGAGTTAATTAAGGCAGAGGCAGTTAAATATTTTAGTGAGTTATTTCACAAGGAACAGTGGAGTCGGCCTGTAATGGGAGGGATCCAATTTCGTAAAATCTCTGCAGCACAAAAGGAGTGGCTAGAACGACCTTTTTCCATAGAGGAAATTGAAGAGGGTCTTCGAAGCTGTGATGGGTCAAAGGCACCAGGCCCAGATGGATTCAATTTCAATTTTATAAAGTTTGCTTGGAACACGTTGAAGGATGATTTTGTGAACTTTTTGATGGAATTCCATCAACATGGGAGGTTAGTTAAAGGTCTGAACTCCTCTTTCTTGGCATTAATTCCTAAAAAATTGAATCCAGTGCAATTTAAGGAGTATAGGCCCATTTGTCTGATCGGTTGTTTGTATAAATTATTAGCGAAAGTTTTAGCAAATAGGTTGAAAAGGGTAATGGCAGATATTATAAGTGAGTCACAATCAGCTTTTGTTGGGGGTCGTCAGTTGGTGGACAGTGTGTTAGTTTTGAATGAGGTAGTTGATGAGGTGAAGAGAAAGAAACAGGAGAGCTTTATTTTTAAGGCTGATTTTGAAAAAGCATATGATTGTGTGGATTGGGACTTTCTTGATTGGATGATGGACAGAATGGGGTTTGGGGTTAAATGGAGAAAGTGGATTCGGGAATGTCTCTCAACAGCCAGGATTTCTATTTTACTAAACGGAAGTCCGACGTCGGAATTTTCAATTAGCAAAGGTCTTCGACAAGGTGATCCTTTGTCCCCTTTTCTGTTTTTATTAGTAGGTGAAGGGCTGTGTGGGCTGGTGAAAAAAGCAGAATGTGAAGGGTTGTTGAAAGGTCTGGAAATTGGGAGGGGTGGTATGGAGTTGTCATTGTTACAGTTTGCAGATGGTACTGTTTTTATGGGAAAGGCATGTGCAGGGAATTTAAAGGTTGTGAAAGCCATTTTGCACTGGTTTGAACTGATTTCAGGATTAAAGATAAATTTTAGCAAAAGTCATTTGTATGGGTTTAACACTTCAGAAGGGTGGTTAAGAGGAGCAGCTGAAATCTTGCATTGTGGGGTAGGAAGGGTGCCTTTTATCTACCTTGGTTTGCCGGTTGGAGGGAATCCGGGGAGGAAAAAGTTTTGGAATTCTGTGCTGGATCGTTTTCGTCATAAGCTCGCCACTTGGAAAAGCCCACTACTGTCCTTTGGAGGCCGGATTACATTAATTAACTCGGTACTATCTGCTCTTCCTATTTTTTACTTATCTTTATTTAAAATTCCTAAATGTGTGATTGTTGAATTGATTAAAATTCAAAGGAATTTTTTTTGGGGGAGAGTGAAGTTAGAAAAGAAGATTTCTTGGGTTAGTTGGGATTGTTTGTGTGTGGAGAAGGGAAGAGGGGGATTAGGAGTAGCTGATTTAGAGAGGAGAAATTTTGCTTTGCTGGGTAAATGGTGGTTTAGACTAGGTG